TGTTTGTTTAAGAAGTGAGACCACCTCATATTTATTACGCGCCCTCCAAATTCAGCAGTGTTTACACCAAAAGGTAAAATAGTGCAGCTCACCAGGTATATTAACCCCAACTCAATAGAGGTCAAATAAGCTCTTATGAGTGATACATCAAAGGTCACCCCCCATGGTTTAGTGAAAAGTAGACGCTACCATCATCAAGAACTAAGGATGGAAACCAAACTGTGGGACCTCACTGGTCCCACAGTTTACTATGGGTTACTATGCATTTAAAAATCTAAGCAGCTGTATGCAAGGAAGCCAGAATACTTTATTAGTCCTAAGTGGAAGGTATCACAATCAGTCACCCAACGTTAATGAAACACAAAAGAAAACTCCAATAGTGCAGCAATTATATAAAAAATTTGTCACAATGCAGTTAAAAAAAAACGATACCACCTATTTGTTAATTTGTAGAGCCAGCACGCACTATGTGCTTCACATCTGTCACACATCAAAAATCAAATAACTCAGGAAGTGCAGCGCTCCAAAATATTGGAAACTGAAAAACAAAATGCTACAAAAACAGGTAATTCTTGTGTCAACCTATAAACAAAATGAAAACTGTATCCATATACAAAAGCATGAAAATATATGTATAAACACGTTCACCAGTAAATCGCTTAAGAATTCAATGCACGTTTGTGACTCTTCTTGCCTTCTTCACAACACACCACCACCTTCAGAAATTAACCACCACCACTTGTGATAATGGTTGGACAATTATCCTCTTGTGTTGACCCCTTAAGCCCCGTACACACGATGAGAATATTGGACAGATAATCATACTTTTATTTTTTTTTGCATGCTAGCCCCATATCGAGAGTGAAGAGGTTACTAAGGTTATGGAAATTCATGTACAAAAGAAACTGATGTAATGTATTTGTATTGTATTTTCAGACGAAAAATGTACTGATTAGACAAAAATCACATTAATCGGACACAACACATAAAGCGGGTGGATCCTCTGATGTCATCACACAGGTGGGCAGAGTTACACAAATCCCATCAGGAGATTGGTACATAGGGCATTGAGAGTGGATATCGACTGATCTATACCTGAAGCACTTTTTGCACTTCAGTGTCTAATAGGACAGGAGAAAGCAACACTGACATAATTACGTTGATTTTCTAATGGCAAGTAGTCTGCTCACTTTGCAATTTGCCTCAGAGCTTAGTAAACGTGAAGTTTCACTTTTGAAAAGAAAATCACATGGAAGGAAATAAGAAGCATAGCAGTATTTTTTCTTGATCATCATTAGTGGAACTGAGCAGAGATTTTCCTCATTCACTAAGCTCTGGGATAAATTCCCTTGCAAAGTACGATTTCTCTTGCAAAGTGAGCAGTCTATTTGCCTTTAGTAATCCAATTGACTCCAATAAAAAGCATACCATGGAGTTTAGGTATAATTAAAGATAAAACGTTTTTTTTTGTTGTTTTTTGGGCAGAGTGGAGATGGATTAGAACACTTATTAGGTTTTTTGATGCTGTCTGTGAGCCATTAGGGAAATGCACCCTCTCTTTGTTCTGTTTGCCATTCTAATTGAAAGTGAACGTAAAAGAAAACCCCTAGAAAATGAATAGAGGAGAAAGTTTTCAATGGGGACACAGGTTCTGGGAGTTCCCAAGGATTTCCATTAGTTTGCAGAGATTATCTCTCACTTTCTGTTTTGACTATGGGATAGGAAGTGAAGGTAAATCTCCTCAATGAGCAGAGATGGCAAAAAATAAACTGACAGGTGTTATAGCCCTCCCTTACTCTATCCAACATGGTAAAAAAAGTTTTGCCTATAGTTCTACTTTACATCTGCCTGTTATCATACTTTTCACTCATCTAGTTGAGAGTGAACAGCCAATAGTAACACTACTTCACCAGTCTCAGTAATTTAGCTTTTCAATTTAATCTCAATTAAACATAAACTTGAAAAGATGCAAATGTGCAAGACTCTTGATCTTAATAGAAATGCAAGAGCAACAGAAGAGAATTATATTTGGCATCCCATTTTTATCAATATACATACATATTCTAAATGGAACAGTAATATACAGAAGTGCATACATTTCAAACGTTAAATTAATCACCAACACATTTTAAAGTATATCATATTTAAAGTGCCCTATGTACATTTGTGGGCACCAAATACATTATGAAAAACACATTGTGGTGTTTATTTACTGAAGCTGGAGAGTGCAAAATCAGGCTCACTTCTGCATAGAAACCAATCAGCTTCTAACCTCAACTTGTTCAATTAAGCTTTGGCAATAAAGCCTGGAAGCTGATTGGTTTCTATGCAGAAGTGAGTCTGATTTTGCACTCTCCAGCTTTAGTAAATAAACCCCAATGTGTTAACAGGTGCATAATGCCTTATTTATTATTAATATAGTGCTAAATATAATTTATTTATATTATAAAAACCATATCTTTTTGCATGTGCATATACAGTGCTGACAAACAAAGTATATATTACAATATTTATGTTATGAACTCTATGTTCAATATCTTACTCTTGTTCTATCCATGAGAGGCAAATGTTTTTAATTCATAATTCTACCAAGTCTCTCTCTTTGAAATGTCTCTTTTTTTTATTCCATCCTCTCTATTAGGGTTCCATTCTTTCTATTCCCACTTACCTTATTCCAGTCGAATCTTTATTAAAGGATAAGTTCACCTTTTGACCAAATATAATGAATGCACATTTTTCTGCAGGTAAAAAAAATGTGCATTTATTATTTTTGTTTGCAGGAGCCTGGAAAGCATTGCACCAGTCTTCTGCAGACCTGTCAGTATATCTGCTTGCCCATATGGGCAAAATAGTGACAGCTTGTATGGGGAACTTCTTCTCGTACTGCTGAGGGGGGGGGGGGTGAATGGATCGGCCAGGGACTGCAGCAGTGGGAACGTGTAATATGTCCCCAAAGGTGAACTTATCCTTTAAGCTGGGCACTAAAACAATTGTTATAACAAAAAAAATCTAAAAAACAGAGATTAAACATAAAACTAGCGGGCACTGTGACCCATGAATCCTCTTCAAGGCCTCTTTCACACAGGTGGTTAGGGGATAGTAAAAACAGTTGCTTGAGTCACAGTTTTACCAACCCTGCACACAGGCTGCATCTGTAAGGCTTTGCTTCGCAGCAACAGCAAACTTAATGCAGCTTGTCGAGTTGGCAGATAGCAACACCTCTCAAACTCACTAATTAAACTTAATGGGGCTGCACTGTAACCATGAGCCAAAGGCCTGTTAGTTCCAGGCCAGACACATTAGTCCATTTAAAAAAATGCCATTCAGCAAACAAAAAACCCCCCAAAAAACAGACATGCAGGAGGTGGCAGGATTGCCTCTTGAGCACCTGACAGTGGCTGCTTAGTAACCCACTGACAAGCAATCCACCAGAAGCTGCCCAAGAGTAAACTTGGCCTTAATGTTGCACACAATAATATCCACAATGCCTGCCTTGGCAGCTGCTTGTCAGGATATAGCTATTCCTTTCTTTCACATACTGTATACAGGTGCATCACAATAAAATAGAATATCAAAACTAATGTATTTCAGCAATTCAAATTCAAAAAGTGAAACTCATATTATACAGATTCATTACACACAGAATCATATATTTCAAGCATTTTCTTTCTTTTAATTGTAATGATTATGGCTTACAGCTAGCGAAAACCCAAAATTCAGTACCTCAGAAAATTAGAATATTACATAAAACCAATAAATAATACAGAAATGTTGGCTTACTGAAAAGTATGTCCATATACAGTATAGTATGCACTCAATACTTGGTTGGGGCTTCTTTTTCATGAGTTACTGCATCAATGTGGCGTGGCATGGTGGCGATTAGCCTGTGGCACTGCTGAGGTGTTATGGAAGCCCAGGTTGCTTTGATAGCGACCTTCAGGTCATCTACATTGTTGGGTCTGATGTCTCTCTTCCTCTTGAAAATATCCCACAGATTCTCTATGGGGTTTAGGTCAGGCGAGTTTGCTGGCTGATCAAGCACAGTGATACCATGATCATTAAACCAGGTATTGGTACTTTTTCCTGTTGGAAAATGAAATCAGGATCTCCATAAAGCTTGGTCAGCAGAATTTCCTGGTAAAGGGCTGCACTTACTTTGGACTTGATACAACACAGTTGACCAACAACAGCAGATGACATGGCTCTCCAAATCATCACTGACTGTGGAAACTTCACACTGGACCTTATACAACTTGGATTCTGTGCCTCTCCGCTCTTATTCCAGAATCTGGAACCTTGATTTCCAAATGAAATTCAAAATTTACTTTGGACCACTTAGCAACAGTCCAGTTCTTTTTCTCCTTAGCCCAGGTAAGATGCTTCTGCTGTTGTCTCTGGTTGCGTGTGCACCTTTTTCTACCGCATTATTTCCTTCCACTCAACTTTCCATTAATATGCTTGGATACAGCACTCTGTGAACAGCCAGCTTCTTTAGCAATGACCTTTTGTGACTTACCTTCCTTGTGGAGGCTGTCAATGACTGTCTCCTGGACAACTGTCAAGTCAACAGTCTTCCCCATGATTGTGTAACCTACTGAACCAGACTGAGAGACCATTTAAAGGCTCAGGAAACCTTTACAGGTGTTTTTAGTTAACTAGCTGATTAGAGTGTGACACCACGAGTCTACAATATTGAACTTTTTCACAATTTTCAAATTTTCTGAGATACTGAATTTTTGGTTTTCACTAGCCATAATCATCAAAATTAAAAGAAAGAAATGCTTTAAATATATCACTCTGTGTGTAATGAATCTATAAAATATATGAGTTTCACTTTTTTAATTGAATTACTGAAATAAGTTAACTTTTTGATGATATTCTAATTTATTGAAATGCACCTGTATAGTCCATGTCTTTATGGACCTTGTTTTGTGAACTGGTGCACAGTCATGTTGGAATAGGAAGGGGCCATTCCCAAACTGTTCCCACAAAGTTGGAAGCATGAAATTGTCCAAAATGTCTTTTTATGCTGACTCCTTAAGAGTTCCCTTCACTGGAACTAAGGGGCCAAGCCCAACCCCTGAAAAACAACCCCACACCATAATCCCCCCTCCACCAAACTTTAGACTTGGCACAATGCATCAGGCAAGTACCGTTCTCCTGGCAACTGCCAAACCCAGACACATCCATCAGATTACCAGATTGCTAGACAGAGAAGTGTGATTGGTCACTCTAGAGAACAAGTCTCCACTGCATCCACACGTCTCCACTCCACAGTGGCGGTGTGCTTTATACCACTGCGTTTGACGCTTTGCATTGAACTTGGTGATGTAAGGCTTGGGTACAGCTGCTCGGCCATGGAAACCTATTCCATGAAGCTCTCTACGCACTCTTGTTGTGCTTATCTGAAGGCCACACGAAGTTTGGAGGTCTTTAGCTATTGACTGTGCGCTTCAGCATGCACTGACCTTGCTCTGTCATTTTACATAGACTAGCACTTGGTGGCTGAGTTGCTGTTGTTCCCAGTTGCTTCCACTTTGTAATAATACCACTAACAGTTGACTGTGGAATATTTAGTAGCAAGGAAATTTCATAGATGGACTTATTGCACAGGTGGCAACCTATCACGATACCACACTTAAATTCACTGAGCTCCTGAGAGTGACCCATTCTTTCACAAATGTTTGTAGAAGCCATCTGCATGCCTAGGTGCTTGATTTTATACACCTGTGGCCATGGAGGTGTTTGGAACACCTGAATCCAATGATTTGGAGGGCTGGCCCAATACGTCTGGCAATATAGTGTATATGACTCTATAATCTCATCTATAAGAGGTATATAGATGATGTCCTCCTCATATGGGAAGAAGATGCAGAAACATAATTTAGGTAGTCACTAGTGGCTTTTTTTAAAAGGGATGGAGGTCTGTGTATGCCAGGACCAAAGGAAACATGCACTGACTTTGCACAACAGTGAAGTACACAGACGAGAAGGGAGCCAACAGAAACAAACAAAATAGGATTTTAGTAGGCTTTGTATGGAAAATATCAGACAGTGATTCGGCATTTGGTGACACATCTCCAGCAGCAGAACCACCCATGAAAAAGAACCACATCCCCTAAATGCTGTCCCAATAGAATACTGCACAATTTTAATAGCTAGAAAGAGGGACACCTTGTTAGTCCACGATAAATGTTTAAGGGTCCCTGCCCAGACTGTCAAGGTCCAATGACTTGAATACCGCTGACTAGTAAGGGTGCAGGCTGAGGAAAGGTGCATCCAGACCCAAAGCATGCAGCAGAAATAGGAAGAGATAGCCTGGCCGCTGTACACCTCACCTGGCCAGAGTGGTTAGCAGGTAAAAACAGCCTCAGCTTGATTCATCCAGACCACAACTCCAACATGTTTTGCCCTACCCCTAGGGCTTTATCATGGAGGTTAACCACTTTGGCTGGGTGAGGTGTTAGCCAAGCTAGGTAGGGAGCAATACCATAGGAAAAGGTGAGCGATCTGTTATTGATTGTGTCAATGGATAGTTATAGCCTGGGTTAGGATTGCTCCTTATTGGGAATTGTGGGAAAACGAAATATAATCAGCATGTTTTGTGAGAATTAACAAACACACACCAAATAAAGGCAGAAGTCCCAATCTGAAGGCTTGTTCTGGGTAATGCCGGAGCATGCATCATGTTTGCTTAGAGATTTTTTTTAGATATGAGAACGTTGGTTTCGTTCAGAGTTATGCTTTAGAGACTCCATCTTATATCAGTTAATTATGCAGATCATGATCACTGCTGCTGGTTATAGCTAGTGACTGTATGAAAAATCAAGCAAGCTGGTAGTATTGGAGTCAATCGATAAAACAACTTCAGTTCAACCAGCCTGCCCATAGATGGATCCAAATTTGTCCAGGTCCTGCTGAACTGCTCAGATATCGACCTGTCTATGGCCAGCTTTAGTTTTCCGGGCATACAGCCAGCAATGACCATGCTGATAAGCACAGAGATACATTGTTTTAACTAGCTGTAACATGATTTAATCTTAACATTGTGAAAAAGCCTTTGTCATTCTTGGAGTAAATGACAAAGCTTCCATCCACCATTGTGTGCGCTTCCTCACTGTGTACACAGTTTTGGGCATATTTTGGATATATTTTATATAAGTGTATACAGCAGACAGCTTCTGACTAACAGATACAACGTGAGTTGTTAGTCATATACAATAAACCAATATTTTCTACTGAAATGCCATACATTTGCTCTTTGTTTGATTCAAACTACAATCTAAATTTGACACCATGACAGAAATAAATGAGCTTTCTAATTGGTAAATATTTCCTCAATAGCCCGGTAAAACCTTTTTTGCACATACAATCGGAATATTGAAACAATATGATTATTAAACAATCAGACTGAAAGTATGTGATACCTTACCGAACTCATAAATTATTGACCGGAAAACGTCAGAGTGACAGCCAAGGAACTAGCATTTTAAAGAATGAACGGCAATGGCAGTGCTTTTATTTATTTCATAACAAACTGTATGTAAAGGAAGTGTTTGAACTTTTGTCAAAGTTTTACTGCTGTCTGTGTCCCTGTTGGAAAGATTCACCCTTTAATTGTCCTGGTGAGCAATGACACTGAGAAAGAGAAGGGAAATCTAAAAATTCAAAAATGTTCTCATCAGCAAGAGGTGACGGAAAGTTATCCAATGAGAACACATGCTCATATGACAAATTTTGACAAAATGACAAAAAAAATGCTCCTACTTTTTTTTGTTTTGTCCATAGCCTTCAGTATTGAGAGGTTTAGGTCCTCCAGGGCTGCCAGCACACTTTCATATTCCCCCAAATGCTGTGAGAAGTAATCTGCAAAATAAATATTGTGTAATATAGTAACACTACGTAGCACTAGTAAGACATACAATTTGTAGCAGGAAAATAACACATTCTACATTACAAAAAACAGAGTCAGTTATGTTATAATACCAGAAAATGTATTTATTTATTATAGGTACTTATATAGCGCTGTCAATTTAAGCAGCGCTTTAAATATATATTGTACATTCACATCAGTCCCTAATCCTCAAGGGGCTTTCAATCTAAGGTCCCTAACTCACATTCATGCATACATATACTAGGGCCAATTTAGAAGGGAGCCAATTAACCTACCAGCATGTCTTTGAAAATCTGCAACCATTTTCGTGAAAATATGCTGCTTTACTAAGCTACTACCTGCAAAAGGCATTAGTATGATACCCTGTATTATGAGAATAATGCTCAGTTCTACAGGTGTGCCTGAAGTCAGAAGTCTGAACCAGGAAAATGCTTATCGGACTTGTAGCAAAAATCAATATTTGCTTGTCTAATGCCACGTTATCGTGTTCTTTCCAATGGGAGAGCATTTATTATGTAATACTCTAATTTACACTGTCTGTGCCCAACCCCTATGTAATGCCAATTAAAGAGCGCTCTGGTTGCGTTGCTATTTTTTTTTTAAACTTAATTAGACCCAAAGGATACATTTTTGACTAAAAGTGGCACTCAGGCCTCGCTCATTAGAGCTGGAAATACATTACAATTCATATGGCAACATCACATAGGATCACATGCGTAAAAAAAAAAAGCTAATCAAGGTAATTCTGTGTGGAATTCTCAGGTGCTTTTCATGTTTAAGGCTCCATGTACACTGTAGCTGATAAACTCAAGTTTAGGAGCTTTTCTATGTTTTTTTCAGCAGCCCCTGAACTCTCCCTAATGTTTTCCTATGTGTTCATGTACACTATGTCGTTTACAGGCAGTTGAGTTTACAGTCGTTTTTTTGAACGCACCAAACTTGCGTTCAGGGGTAGATTTTATCAGCGTTTCAAACACCAAACACTTGTAAATGCGGCTAACCACATTTATAAGCATTTGTGTTTGGAATTTTTTTCTAACTTTTCCATTTCCAGTTGCTGTCCAAAGCCTTTTTTCATCATAAAAATGCATGCAAAGCGTTTTCCGGTACTCAAATGCACCTGGTACACCATACTTTGAGGTTTCGCATGAAAGAAAATATGTTAGACACTGCTGCAATCATTTCTGCACAGAAATGAGCTGGATCACATCCAAACACCACAAAAAAAGACAGCTAATCTCAACAAATACTCCTCTCTCTGCTTCTGCTCTCTTTATTTCTCTCAAAATGTCTGAAATAGTTAATTTTTTACTGTTTTTCAGAGCATTCTGGGCATTTTGGAAGGTCTCCTGAGGTTATCTTTAAAAAACACTTCTAAACGCAAACGCTCATAAATGAGCATAAACACAGTATGCAAACGCAACTAAACAGACGTTTTTTAACCTACATTTTCCAGCAGTCAGTTTCCATAGTTCAGAAACGTCCCATGTACATGGAGCCTTACAGTTTAAAAAGAAAAAAGAGAAAATCCTTTTCTTGAATTACAGTACAGGACAAAGGATTTTTAGTCGTTAACCATGGGTTATATGCAGCTACCTTCTAGTTAAAGGACAATGGCAAAAAAGAAAACTGCAGAGAAATCCCCTATATAATCCTTCCCACTCTCAGAAAGCCTCAGAGGGGAGGGGTCTGTGTCCTGAGCTGCTTTCCAAAAACCAGATTTGACTGGTAAATGATACATCCTATTCGAGGGAGAATTTGGACAATCCAGAGATTGCACTCTCATGTCCCACGGTGCTAGAATGGTATGCAGCAACTCAGACTGGAGTGAAAATGGTGATATTGTACTGCCTCAAAGAGTTAGGATCCTCTTGGACTTTAGCAGTATCTGCACTATCTGAAGGATGCTGGATGACACAGTATGAGTTGACCAGGCCTTTAAAAGAAGATCGTCCAATATCCCACTGGCAAGGCAGATTAAAAGCAAGGGCTGGCACATTGGGAAAACCTGGTGTGGAATGGACTGGCCCAAGGAAGGACCCAACTTAAAAAAAAGGCAACAGTTTGGCTTCAAAGATGCAGCAAGCATAGGGAAAAAGCAGCAGGCACACTACAGTGGTCAAAAGATCCCCTATATGGAGGGAGCCATAACCAGCCTGTCAGTCGCCATGTGGAACATTGCACCTGAAGGAAGGAGAATGGGCCAGGTGAGAGAAGTTGCATCCAAGCAGCATGAAGATCCGCCAAACCAAGGTGCGTAAGACCAAATACCTGAAAGTTCTGGGATCAGTATTAGGAAGAAGCTAACTTAGTATTCGGGGGGGGTGGGGCGTGACGGGTTGGCCTAGAAAAGCCAATGCAAATAACTCCATGCTAAGAGATGCTTATATACCAATGCATCAGAAGGAATAGAGTAAAACTCCACATAAAGTTTTTGGAGGCAACTGACCAGCACACCAGAGGCTATCGTATAACAGCCCGCAAGTGAGTCAGCGACAGCAAAGGTTACTCATGGACAAACTGTAGAAGTGGTTAATGGCCTGGTGTGTCAGCTGGCTGGTGTACAAACAGTATGTAAGTTAAATAGTACCCTCAAGATTAACTAATGCGCCAATAGTAGAATAGGAGGGGAAAATGGCCAATTGTGATTTGGTAGGCCTAGTGAGGATCAACCAGCAATTGAAAGGAGACAAGAGCCATCTGTGGCTGAGAGACCGTAGGTAATACAAGAATACAGTATGTAAGTGAAACTGTACCTACAAGGGGCACCCACAGATCCACTTCAAGGCAGAAGGGGGCAATGGCCATTGTAACTAGGTCACCAGAGGCC